CAACTTAATGATTATTTCTAAGAGTTTTAAAGGTCAGTTCTAATACAAATGAAAAACTAATTTTTATCTTATCTTTGTTCTTTTTGCATATTGACGTAGAATAGGAACAAAAGGATGAGCTTTATTCTCATGTCTATATCACGCGATTTGTCATCCGATGTCTCGTCGAGTAAATATCGTAATATAGAGAAGAAGAAAAAATGATACTTTTATTTGTATTGCCAATATATCATGTCTCTTGATTTCTTCTAGATTTCTTCTACTTGTGTGAGTGTGTATTTGTATATAAAACTATGGCTACATCTCTAGCTGATTTTCATCAAATGATAAAATTATTTGGTGCTGATACAGATGAAATGAATGTTACAACTACACATGATGAGCATGAAGAACAACATGAGCAGGAACGAGAACAAGAGCAAGACGATGAAGAAGATGATGATGATAATGAAACTGAATTACAACTCGACGAAGAATCATCACTTATATCAAGTGGTGAAGACGAAACAACTAAAGATAATCAACAATTATCATCAACTAAGCCTATATCATCGGCTGCTATTGCTGCACGTTTATCACGCTTAGCAAATCAGCGTATGGACTCGAATCGTTTTTTAATTTGTTCAGGAACAAATTCTTATAATACCATACGTAAAACGAAACATGAAGTAAGACGTTTCGCATTATATTTAGAAGATACATTTAATGAAAAATGTCCAATTGATGAATTAAAACCTGAACAATTATGTACATATTTAAAACATTATTTTGGTAATGTTCGTAAAGCTGATAATACGGAATATGAGCCTGATACATTAAGAAGTTTTATGCTATCAATTGAACGGTATTTAAAATCTCGTAAATATTCATATAATATTCTTGAATCTCCAGTTTTTGCGCCATGCCGTGAAGTTATTCAAGAAAAACGTGATACATGGGCTAAACCAACGAAAAATATTAGTAATTCAAAAGTTGAAGCGTTTACATCTGAACATGAATTATTACTTCGTCAAATGAATATCATAACACGTGAAACACCTGATGGTTTATTACTTGAATTATTAATTAATAATTCAAAATATTTTGATCAACGTGGCAATGAATCAACAATCAATCGTTCATTATTATGGGGCGATTTACAAATAAAAACTGACCCAACAACATCAAATGAATACGTTGAATATAAACGTTCCACAACAAGTGCACGTGCTTATGCAAATCCGTTACAACCAAATCAATGTCCTATTGCTAGTTTACGTCTTTTAACTTATCATCGACCAACACAATGTTCAAATTCAGATTCACCATTTTATCTTGTACCGCGTACAACAACTGATCAACGTGTTTGGTATAAAACAATACGTGCTGGACGTCATAGACTAGATTTATTAATTCAACAAGCTATGCTAAAAGCTGGTATACAAGGAAAATTTTCTTGTATGAGCTTAAGAAAAGGTAAAATAAAAGGTTTACTTGTACCGTCAACAAATTCTGAATTACTTGATTTATCATCAAATAATACAAAGAAATTAAAACGAGAACAAATATTATCAACTTCATCGTCGGTTATAATTAAACCAATTGATACAATTCTTCCTCTACAACCACAATCAGAAAATCATCATGATGATTTGCCTTCACCAATATCAATAACAATAAATAATAAACGCAAATTAACATCAAATGATACATTTCACGCATTGTATGCAGCAGCACATTTAAAATCGTCAAGACAATCAAAAATTAATCTTCTAAGAAAATATCTTGAAGAAACACTTGGTCTGGTCGAATTTCTTACTCTATATGAATATTTAAGTAGAAATTCATATATAAAATTGCAAGGTACACCTATTGAACATTACGAACATATTTTACCTGTTTTACTTACATTACTTATGCTAGAAAATACATCATAAAAATTGTATCGAGTTTTATTCCATGAAGTCAATTATTCTGAAGTGAAATGATTATATACATGTAGAAATATTGTTCTAGTCGTTCTTATATGCTTTTCTCTTCGTTGTGTCATTCCAGTCGTTTTCTTTTTATTGTCTATGTGTCTATGAATGTTTATAATTTGTTTGTTTTTTTCTTAAAACAAATGTCGATCAGAAATGATGAATGAAAAATTGAATAATATAAATATGCTGTGGAGAAAATCATTTGATTAATTATTATTATCAGTTTAAAAATTACTAATATCAATAATATCGATTGACATCGAACAAACCAAGTAAAACAGTTAATTGTATAAACAATCAAAAGTTTTGACAACTCGAAAAATAAAATTTGGGACAAGTCTAACGTAATAGTAAAAATTTTCTAATAATTTGAAAAACATGTTTAAGCAATTTACTCTCAATTTAATATGATTGTAAAAGCAATGCTTTTCTTTTCTCTGATACTTGATCATGATTCAAATAATATCACAATAATGAAATTTTGATAAGAACTATGTGGTGCGATATATGATGTCGATATTAGATCACTTTTATACTTGATTAGAATGTGATAAAATGTAAAAAGTAAGATAAAAAATAAGCAGACAAAAGTTTCATCAAATATTTTATTTCATTGAATGTTCGAAATAATTCTCTTGATTAATTCTATTTAATTACTTTCATGGAATCCATATATCGAATAGTTCGTATACTTCATATGACTTAAAATGTATGCTCATAGTACTATGGAACGATTTAGACTTGTTTTGATTACTTAAATTGTACTTTATTAATTCAAATAAGAAAACTACTCTAGTAAAAAACCTAATTAACTTCTTGTTGTTATTCTCTTTTATTTTACCACCTCCACCACTTATCTATATATATATATATATTAATATGTATCGGTAGCTAGACTTCAGACAGAGGAACCGATGAATAAAAAGAGACGAACCAAGATGATACAGATCGAAGACAATATTTGATCTAATATTACCACCATGCATCATAACAATTAGTTCTTATCGAAGTTTTTTCATTATAATATTGATTGAAGAATGATCAAATATCAGAGAAATGCGAAGTATTGATTTTGTTAACAAACCCTATACAGTGGAAGTTACTTAAAATGTTTTGTAACGAATAGATATACTTCAGCCAGTAATTTTGGTATACTACAAGTGGTATTATCGATATTCTTCTATGAACGAATATTTTCGCGTCATTAAAGTCAATTGTGAAGGTTGATTTGCATTCTTTTTCAATAAAGTACTTTCTTGAAATCTTATGAATTCGTCTATGTACAACTAGAAAATAAGACCTTATATTAATATGCCAGTCATTTCAAAAGAGTAGTAAAATATGTAACGTATGACTTTTATTTATTCAAAGAGTTACATGATGAGAAGAATTTCAAATAGTGTAAAACAATTCATTCATTCATTCATGTATGATCAAGATGAAAGAAATTGCATATAATCTCTGCTATCGTAGATCCCTAAAAGTTTTCACATTCATTTATGTGAAACAGCAGGTAATAAACGTTTTGATCTTGTTGATTCTTCTAATACATTTGATGACGTACGCGAAGTAGGACATTTAGGTTTTTACTGTTTTCTGATCTAATTCTATGCTTATTCTGAACAAAGAGCAAACACGTTCCCGATTAATTACTAAAACCAATAAATTTTGATGGATTCTATTAAGTTATCTTTTACTAGTCTATAAAAGTTGAAAAGAATTAATTTTTTAAAATAATGCGTACAATAGTATTTCGTATATAGAAAATAAATCCAATTAACTTCGACATTTTACTTTTGTAATATATATTTCAATGATCTTTGAAAGTTCTTCATAATGCACATAATATATCTTGTTGTTAAATGAATAGGCTTCAAACTTCTAAATCTCTAAATAATGGGTCGTAAGATAATATCTTCATTTTTACATTGATATTTTTATCTGTCAGATTACATAAGTTATTCGATAATCAAATCAGTCGTCTATATCAATATTTGACATTTCATTGTTCGTTTCAAATAGTGAATATGATATTTCAAAAACATATTAATCATATGTATAATGACGCATAAAAAGTCAAGAACAGTAAAATTGCAACACTCAAAGGATTGACAAAGAATATTATCAATTCACTAGTGTGAGTAACATTTCAAGGTTAACTCTACAAAAGTTCGAAATTAATATTGAAGGATAAAATTGATAGCAGAGTGCTGGCTCACTATCCTAAAAGAACACAGTATTAATAACAGATGAATATTAGATTTTGACTCGTATTACTATCGATCATGGCGTGATCATCTGAATATATTATCAACGACTATCTTCATAAAATTTGTATGAATTCATTTGCTTTTTATCATTATCATTTGTACATAAAATTAACTATAAAAAGTCTTGAAATACAAAAAAAAGGGTTCTCCACAATAATAAATCAATCGTTGACAGTAACGAATACGCTAAACTTCTGTCTTAAATATAATGCTAGAAAAACAAACGAGATTATAGAGAAATGCTGGAGTCTTATAATTCTTGTACGAATAATATCGCCGGGAAATAGATGTCTGCTTATTGTTTGTAAAAATATATATTACTATTATAAATACAATATCGATTAATTGTATCAAACTCAATGAATTTTCATAATATGAAAACAGAACATAAGAAAAAAGCACAGATTCCAATCAAGATTCCTTAGCTATAACTATTTCTAGATAGCAGTGCACTCGTTTTTCGCTTGTTTGGTGAATATTGACTTATAACATAAGGATTTATCAAAGTCATTCAGATCATCAGTTTAAAACAAATATATATGTATAGATTCTATTCATAAGTGAAACAAGTAAAATTTCCACAACCAAGGATGAATTACTAATGGAGGAGAATTGTTTGAAAAACTTTTCAATTAAGCACTCTAATCTATGATATAAACCTTTAAACAACACGATTTTATTTCAGTTTATAATCCACATTAAGGATTGTATGGTTAACATTCATATTTTCTTGCTATAACAAAAACAAAGCAAAACAGAAACGCGGTTTTTATCTTTTTTTCATTTTCTTCTTCTGATTTCCGCCATTTCTATCATCAATATCGCCATTTAAAGATTCATCATGTTGCCGTTTTCCTGGGCGATTTTTAGCATTATGAGTTTCATAAAAATTGCTGCCTGTTTTTTTGCGTTTGTTTGTTTCTCTTTTGGGTTTTGATTTCACCGTTTTTTCTTCTAGTTCTTCTTTATTTTCTTCTTCTTGTTGTTGTTGTTGTTCCATAGGCTCTTTTTCAGATTTCCTAAAACGATATTTAATTCAAATAAGGAATAGTTTCGATTAAAAAAGTAAAAGCAGTGTGAAATGAATTTGATAATAATAAATTTTTTCGATTTGTGAGTAATTTCCCTATCTGATAGGAAACAGTATTCTTCGATTAAACATCGAAATTTACAATCATGAGACTTTATGTTGTCCTAGTTTTATTCGAAGTTTTAAGAAAATCAATTGACGGACGGAACGTCACATGTCCAGAAACTTTAAAAATCTATAATTTAGTAATCTCGTTCATTTAAGTAACAGATCGGAATCGATTGAAATATTTTGTCTCTCTTAACAAACGTCTATAGGGTAAAATGGCACGAACTATAGTGTGGAAAACGAGTACAAAAAAAACACCTAATCTTAATATCTCCATATATTATTTTCACCTCATAGATCACGAAAACTACATTGAAGTCAAGAGAAAAAAAATAAATCTCGATAGTCTTGCTATGAAAATCAGTTGTGATCAATAATAATAGCTTTCATAAATCAGCAAAAAAGATTCTTAAAAATTCGTATCTATTGAAAAATATATCCTATAGGAAAATGTTAAAATTTATTCTAATCCAATAAATTCGATCGAGAACTTTTAAATCTAGAATCGAACTTGAGTTAAAGAAATCCTGAATTCTTTTAATTGTCCTTCAACAGTATTTTATGCAAACTTTGGATGATGAAGTTCATATGATGATAAATTTAACAAACTGTATCGATCAGAAATATTTTACTTAATTCTGACAATCATAAAATCATCTATTGTTTTCCAGCATATTATATATTAAGAAAATTACGTTTCATCATTGTCTTGTCTATTTGGATCTTCTGGTGGTGTTATATAATGTGGTAGTTTACCACGTTGGAAATCATTTAAAACTATTTTTGCAACTGTGGGTAAATCAGGTTCGGCACCTTTTAATAATTTCCCCATTTTTCTTGCTAGTTTTTCTAGAAATTCTTCAGTTGTTGAAAATTCATCAATTGAATATGTTTTAAGTATATATTCATGTTTAACTCGTTTTAATAAGTCATCGATATATTGTTCTGGTTGTGGAACATTTTCAATACGAACAACACCTTTAAGAACGATGTCTGTTTCAGAATCATCAGCTGGATAAACAATACCAGGACAATCAATAAGAAATATGCGTTTCATTAATGTTATATATTGCCAAACTTTAGTTTCACCAGCAATAGGCGCCACCTTGCACACCTAAGATAAATAGAAACCAAACATTTAAGATATTCGTTTTTGACTAGCTCTTACTTTCTCTGATCGTAGTGTATTAATCACAGATGATTTACCAACATTTGGATACCTTGAAAAAATAATAAAAATAAAATCAAACATAAAAACAATATGTTGTCTTTTTACCCTATGAAGCCAACTGAAATTTGTTTTTTATCTTGATGTAAACGAGAGAATTGTCGTAATAATTGTATTAGTGCTTGTTTACCAAATGATTTTGTCATATTAGCATGAAATGCAAGTGTGGGATGACAACGCGAAAGTATAGCTACCCATCGTTGCGTAACCCATATTGGAACCAAATCACATTTATTTAACACAAAAATTAATTGCTTATGAGCTTTTTCTTTTTTTAAATATGCTTCAACTTGACGACACCGTGTACCCTCAGGATTTCGTGCATCAAGAACTTGAATGACAACATCAGAAGAATCAATAACCTATGAATATAAAATTCTTTTATTTAAATATGTTTTCAGAATGATTATCTTACTTTATAAAGTTCATTCCAAATACGTTTACTTTGTCCAGCTTTAAATAGAGGATTAATCGTTTCTGGTTTAACTCCATCGTCTTCTCGCATTAAATCAAGATCTTTTTCTTGATCATATTCACTTTGTTTCTGTTCAACATGAGTCATTAGTGCTTCGATATCTTCGCCACCAGGAATGTTCGATGGCCGTTTTCGTTGTGCTTTAGGTCCAAATATTGTTTCATATGGTTCTACATCAAGTATATGAACACGTTTTTGTTTAGCCTTTTCATTTAATAATGTAACTGGTAATTGAGTTTGTTTCATAACAACTTGATATGGATCAGCCATTGTTTTTGATAAAGCTTCTTGAAATTTTTGTAATGAATTTTGTGTAACAACACGACTATTATTAAACCATTGACGATTAGGTGCAACACGTGCTTGAGTACCCGACGGAAGAATTTCTTGATAGAGTGCTTTTTTAACGATTCTGCCTGATGGATCCCGTTTTGGTTTACCACCACGATACATTTGTAATCGTTTAACAGTGGATTGTGAACGAATTTTCGCACCATTGATAGATCCCGTAGTATTTTTTGATGAAGTACGGTTTTTCAATGACATAGAGTGTGATGTTGATGGTTTCTTGTTAGATGATGATGATGTCGATTGACTCTTTCGTTTTTTATTTTTCGACATGATGAATATTATCTACAATAGAAAATTCGAAAGAAAGAAAGTGTATGTTTTTTTTATGTTATTGTAAGATTTATTATTTAGAAATTTAGAATAAGGTAAATTAAAACTGAAACTTTCATAATTTTTCACATCTATTGATCGTAATAATAGTAATGGTTTTGGTATGTATCGTACAAGCTATGTGTAACGAATCATCGTATGAATCTATATATATATATTTTTTTTTCAGAGAAAAACAAGTAAAATAAAGAGGACGCTAGGCGTCGAACCCCTTTTCAAAGATTTGATATATCTATCTGTATATTTCTCTTGAACTATTGGAAATATTTCACTTAGTCAGAATACGTTTTTTCAAATCAATCATTTCAGACTACTGTAGCTAACTATTACTGGCACTAGAAATACAACATGAAAGAAATCTAGACAAAATATCGTCTACTAAATAGCATGCATTAGAAAGTAGTATCCAAATATACGAAACGTTTGCTAAATAACAAGGTGCATATTTGAGGGTGTGGGTGTGGATGTAGGGCGTGATTTCAGAGAAGAAGTGCGCCCACACCCACACCCACACCCACACACCCATAAACTGTCGCTCACAACTTTTTGTTGCAATTTTTTGACTATTTTTGGAGTGCTCTAACTTGTGATAACTTTTTTAAGCATAAAAATGTCCTTTTTAAAAAAGGACAACGTTATGTCCTGCGTCTTGATGTGCTCTTTCAAACATAAAAAACTTTTGAAATCGGACGAGCCATAACAGAGCAGTTTTGGATGCCAAAACAGCTATTTTTAACCACTGTTTGGTCCATATCTCCCTCAAACCTGCAGATTTGGGGCTGAAAATTTTATCGTAGACTCTCCACTGTAGCATTAACATATCCTTCAGATTTCAGCCAATTTGAACGCTCCTAAGGCGGAAATCGATTTTTGAGCGGGGGCCTTAAACAAACTTCCTAGAGCAAATTCCAAAAGATACGAAATATGAATAACAATACCGAAATGATGAAATTTAACGTTTTTTTCTCGTTGGATTTCTTAATCTACGCAGAATGTATGTGATTTAGTTCTGCTCGTTTTTGTGAACGAGTTTTAAATTTAAAAAGAAGCTCAACATTAAGTATCTTGTATTGATGTCTTCGTATTAGCTAAATGATATATTCACTATATTGTCTTTCGTTTTATTGAAATATCTTTGAAAATAAAGTTTCAGTCAATGAACAGAAACGCAGCAGAATTTTGGATGCCAGTATTTTAGCGAAAGACCTACTAATTTGCCAAAAACTGCCATTTTCTGATTCATTTCTGATTTTTCAGAGATATTTTCTGATTGTTTTCTGATTTTGAAAAAGTATTTTCTGGTTTTTCAATTTTTGATCTCACCACCCTGACAATAACATGCATCTAATTGAAATGTATTTTCAAAAAAAAGTAGAAACACAAGAAAATGTTTATTTTAGTTGTACTTTTCACAACACGCACAATAGCTACAACGTAAGATGCATAACTAGTTTTGACAGCTTGTGATCATGTCGATAAATCATGTTTTCTTTACAAAATTGACATTGATCCATTGAATAGTCATGCTATATCGAATGAAATTATTCAATGGTATTCAATAAATGTTGCTGATCGTTTTGGCTCTGTACTTGGTTTCAAAGATCAAAATATATCATATATCATGTTAATGATCGATTGTGATTATCACGCATATCTTATTAATATCACTAATTTAAATCATTGACCATCATTAAAATCTATGAAAACGTCTTGTAGTCAACCAATGCAATCTCTAATACCAGTAGAGTGGAGTCATGGTAAGCTGTTCTCTATTGCATTCAGCAAAGCAAATATTCATCAATTTAACAAAACTAATTCATAATATTCTGGAGTCATAATCAGAAAGCAAATATGTTTATAGTAGACTTTGTATTTATACAATTTCTCCATTGAATTAGTTCGAACATATTGAAAGGTATGCAACAAATATTTTCAAAAAATGAATAACTGTTCCAATAACTTGAATCGTTATCATTTAATCATTGTATAATCAACTTTTCTAATACATAGTGCTTACAAGATAAAAATCAATGGCTTCATCAATTTGTTCTTTCTTGGGTGTAGATATCATCAATTTTGGTGGCATATTTTCTAATGCATATCAAGTGCTAGATCCACCAAGTGGCTATTCAGCTTGGAATTTCAATAAAGTTGAACCTACTTTTCATGTTGTATGTAGTTTACTTTCACATTAAAAAGTATGTTCGTTTTCGTCTTTGTTGGATAGGTACTGTATAATCTGGTAAATGATGCACATCACATTTTGGCAAATAGTATTGAAACTGGGCAATGGGTATTAAAACAAATTGAAAATAATTTATTATGTAATTTTGCTTATTCAACAAAATTAAACACATTTGTAAGTGATTGTGGCTATTGTGGCTTGGGTGGTATTTGTCTTTAAAATCTAAAGAATGATCGATGGGATTTATTCTTACCAATTCAAAATTATCCAGATTCGCTAGCTTGGGCATTTTTTATTGATCAACAAACTATGTATTTTATAAGCAAACAAAATGTTACTTTAGTTGACTTATCGAGTAAATCATCATTTTACTAGAGGATATTACCATTGGCAGAACAAAGTGACAATATCAGCGGTGTTGACAAAACAGTAGTATTCAGTACTAAATCATAGTTTGAAATTGAATTCGTTATTTTTATTTCATTCCTTTGGCTCAGAAAAAAACATAGAGAAATAAAACTGTTACGAACATGTGCAGATGGTTTCCTGTAGTGTTCGCATTTTTTTGTAATTATCGAAAGAGTTTACGGATGTGAGATGTAGGTGTAATTGACGTCGACTCTATAGTGTGTGTGAATATTGTCTTAACGGGAAATGATACAAAATTATTACATCCCAGCGTATTAACAACAATCAATCTCAACACGAATAACTTCAGCCACAGTCACACACTCATTTGTGTTTCCGATTGCTGAACATCTGTCTATACATGACATATGATATATTTCAAAATCTTACAACAATATTGCCAATTCCTATGCTAGTTAATAAGGCAGATGTAGTGTTTCACGAAACTTTATGATTACCATAGTGTGCCATTTTTTTAATTGAACTGAGGTGTAGGTGTTAGAAGGAATATTTGAAGGACAGCTCATAATGTGAAGCCTCCAAATATCAAAGTATTTGCAGTATTATGCCGATACAAACCGTGTATGCCCAAATTCACAAAAGTTCGAATTCGATAGATGCTGATCGTAAGAAAGATCTGTTTTACTTCATCGTCATGTCGATAGTAAACCTTTTCAGAATTGTGCTGATGATCTTTCAATAGTTTTATTCTCTAGCACATTGGTCATAAATACGAAATAAGAGTTGTTATCAAATGGAAATGCATAGCCATGCTGAAGTCATCTTCTTTTGTCAAAGTCAATTATGTATTGTATTCAAAACCGATTTGAAAAATCTATTATACATATAATTTGCATATTAACTGATATTTATGAGCAGAGAAACCAAATGACTACATCAATTATAACCTACAGCACTGATTGCTATGAACGTCTAAGGAGATCACTTGTCAAAATGTGAATCTAGTCCTGATCTCTAAGTGATTCTGATACTGCAATACGTAGTTAAGTTGGAATGCATGTTTGCCGAAGAAATATCATCAAGCTGCTGAAGTATTGTTTCTCATTTGTTCATGTTAACTTTTTGAATAAGAAATCATGTCGTTGAACTGAGCACGAAAATAGTTCAATGAACTACAAATAAAAGAAACTGCTTAAAAGTTAATTCATTTTTTCTAGCAAAGTTACAAGAATTCGAATGTGTTATTTTTCATTATTTTCCTTTAGAACATAGAAAAAAATCATTGCAATATCTGATGCCACGAAATCGTACAATTAGTTTGAAGTATATAGAAACATCACGATAGCATTGTTAGAATGAATATTTTTGAAAAAAATCTAATCGGATCTAATTGACTGTATTCAAAAGCTTCACTGTTTTAAGTCGTTTTCAACTAAAAATTAGAGTTCATGCATTAAAAAAATTGTTCGACGATGTTAAAATGGATGTGTTCAATGTTAACAAAATGGACACATATATATATTCATTGAATATCTATTTTTAATTCTTTGCACAGTGCACCACTTTTCCGTCTAGATTCATTAGGGAATATTTTCAGTATTATTAATACAGAATAATAAAAGCATATTGTTTTCTTGCGCATTTTCAAATATAAACATAAACATTTTTAAAGGATTTTTAGATATAGAAAAATAGAAATACTCTTGTAAACATTATCATAATCTCGATGGTTAAATCGACATTTATATTTTAATCAGCTTGTTAAAGATAATATTATCTATATTAGCACGTATCTTACGTCCAAATTAATTATAGACTAATTATATAGCACAATGTTTACTTCAACTGAAAATAGAGCCAAAATAAAGTTGAAAATAGTGTACATGAACAATGAAACCTTAAAATAAATGATAATCTTATACAGATACTACAATAATCTGCTTTAAAAACTATGATAAACGTTTAATTTCAAGGAACTTTTTTTATTTGATAAAAAGAAATTTCTTTTACATAAAATAATGTCGTTTCAAACTATGGTAAAATACAAGGGGGAAAAGGCTGATTTAAATCACAGTAAAACTCAACTTACAATCAATATAAATTAACTGTATTGGAATGAGTTTGCGTGAGTTTCGGTGCCTTTGAATGATTTTCAGTAATAATTTATGATTTGGAATAGCTTTTAGTTAGTTTAGCAAATTTTTCGTTTTCTCAAGCTCATTTTAAATCAGCTAAACTCAGAAAAATCATGAAACTCATAAATCGCTTTTTCCCCCTTGGTAGAATAGCTCGTCGTTTTCCTCGCATAGCATGAAATGATGATCGACGATTGGAACACGGTTGTAATAGGTCTTGAATAAAAATGCTCATATCTTCACGATTTTTATTTGCTTGTTCCTATAAATCATATAGACGATCTACTGTCGGTTTTTCTGTTAGTCTTTTTTCAAATAACGTTGCTTCAATTGCATCATCCTTGTTATTACAATTAACAATGGTAGATAGTAATAAAGTAATAATACTAATAATTAATAGCAATAAATGAGGAAAAGAAGATTTAATCATATTTTTATGTTGAAAAGTAAAACAAAACTCAAGAACCATTCTTATATCATATGAAGTATTACCTTGATTTTCTACCTCGTGATTTCTCTCTAGTCTTTCTTTTCTACATTAATGAAAAACAGCTTCTGTTGTGATACTGGATAGCAAGATTGAGCTGTTTCAATAATGATGAATTTATGTGTCTCAAGATGAGTTCTAGTCTTGTTGATTCGCGTTGCTTGTAGACTCTCCATATGAATGATAGTTTCTGTTGGATAAAAACACACGCACTATAAAAGTAGTTTCTCTCTTCTTCTGATATACCCTGTTGCAATTAACTAGTCAACCACATGGTATGTGTAGTCACACACCCACACCCTCCTTTAAATAGCTTCCATCTCTCTCCCGTCTCTTTCTGTAACTAGCCTTAAAACATGAAAATTAATCATAAAAATGATGTTTTTCGTATGCACAAATCTTATATTGATTTTATTCGTATAATCTTGTTTTTTTTTCTCTCGCTTTGTATATAATTAGAATTCTGGACTGCATAGAAACAAAAAGTGAATACAAATGTTACTTGTAACGATGAAGACGAAACAAATGATATTTCAATCTGCAATGAAAATTAAGACCAAATTATTCATGATTTCCATGATGTTTTCTATTTTCATTAATTTCCAATAGAAAATATGAACATGATATTCTGCAAGATATATCTTGCTTATTTTTACAAAGAATTAAGCAGACAAGATAGAATGGCATGTTTAATTTATTTTGACACTAGTTTGCTGATCTATGACTGAAGCTTTAATCATAGATAGAAAAACATTTTGAATCTAATTTTTAATAATCATAATACATGATGTGTTGTGAAATATCTTCGTCAATTTGGATTTGGTTTATAAATTGTTACAGTCATTAAAAAATAATCTTTAAACCAGGAATGACGTACTACTGTCTATTTAGAAAACCTATATTAAAGATCTTATGAATGAATCATTCAATTGTAAAAAAATTAGACACAAATTTCTAAAGATTCGACGAAACCACATAAATAGGTGTATATTTACTCAGATTGATCAAAGAATCGAAGGGTCCGCCTAGTGATTTGTAACAGATTAAAATTCCATCTCTCATATCTGTCATTTTGACTAATTCTAATTATTTGATTAGTGGTCCTTATTTTATCGGTTTAATTTTTCATATTGTTCTACAGTTCTAATGGAGCAACAATGAGTTCATTACTAATCTTGATATACGATCTTTAACAGGAATCTATACTCGTAAGCCATTCATTTTTTAAGGAGAAAAAGGAGCCAATATAAAATTTTTTCGATTAAAACTATTCCAATAAAATAAAATCATTTATTTCTTATTTGATTTATTCTTTGTTTTCATAAATTTCTTTATTAATTGTACGTATTTACATGATACATCAATGATTATAGCATTCTTTAATACCGTTCGATTTACTTTGATATCATCGTTTATAATATACTATATGATCACTAAGACAAATACATCTTTGTTTCGAATTTATCTTTAGAAGAAAAAATAACTCGAACTATATGCAAAGTAAAAGGAAAACATCAGGAACCTATTATATTCTATAACATATATTTACTTGAAAATATTGTAGGTACCAATAGGAGAAACTTTGATTTTCAGCTATTCCAGTTTGTTAGTGTAAACACTGAAGGCCTAAACTTACCTTTGAATTCTTCTTAGTTATTCATGCTTTTCTCGAATGGAAGTTTAACATTTTGTTATGTTACTATTGAAATATATATAAAACTATGTTGTCTTATTTTATCATATGCACTGAGTTTTTGGAAATCATATAAAATAATTAAATGAATACTTATCGAAAAATCATCTTTCCCTGAAAAATGAAGATTTCGGGATCGTATTAGAATGTTTCCAAAGATGCTCTATGAACGATGCAAACTAATCATTAATTGAAGGCCTTCAAAAGTTGTTTGAAATTAAGAAGAATATCTGTCACCGTAGACAAGTTCTCGATAATGTGAATATAAATATCACCCTAATCATTCTTTTCTATATTGAATTTTTTTTGTGAAAATCTCCAAATGTTTCTTAATCACTTTCAACTTCATATATTACGATAAGATCACTATGACAATAAGGTAAACATTAGTTTTTCATAGATATAGATAAAATCTATTGATGAAATTCAGAAGGGCTAAATAAATGAATGAGAAGAATATTACAGCCATCATTGAATTCATATTTGAGTTTTAAATCATAGTTATCCTAATTATGGCAAATTAAAAGAAAAGTAGTTGAAATCTATGAAGATGTACGAATCATTGTTGCGTAGCAAAATTCGGAAAATTTCTGTGAATTCTTTATTTCCTAATTATAATCACTTATTTTGGAATAAATATTTCGAATATTCACGATTGAATCTAATAAATTTATGTAAAAAAAAGACTAAAATAAATAGTTGCCGACGACTGCTTCAATTGTTAGTCCGTTAACAAATGTTTATGAGAAATTTTTCTCATTCGGATTCGTAACGAGATCATTCTCATAGAGTTGCTATATTAATGAATCCACTAAGTGCGGAAAACATCAAAATTATTATATTTGTTGAAAAAGACTATTTTATATTTCGATATCTGTGATTAGTTTATGACATATTCACACGAGAGTATTGTATGCGGATGAAATTCGTTTAAATCAAATCATGAATTTAATATCACTTATGTTCATAATAACTATCATCATAAAACTAAAAGTATAGTTTTTTTTTATCAATCCGACCCTTTCGGATATACTTTTTTAATAAAAAAAAATAAAAGACGAATTTCAAACGAGAATCTCTCGTAAAATTGTATTGTTCGCAAAAATTGAACGACATCTATCTCCATTATGATTTGCCGTTTCCAATATTCTTTTATATTTTCTAAAAGAAAGAAAATCGTTGAACGAATAAAAAAGGAAACACAATTCAGTCATATCTTGTCTTGTCAAGATGCATATACGTGAGATCGTTCTTGAAGGTTTCAAATCTTATGCAACTCGAACAACCGTCGGTCCATTCGATGAACATTTTAATGCTATTACAGGTTTAAACGGTAGTGGAAAATCGAATATACTTGATTCAATATGTTTTGTTATGGGCATAACATCGTTATCACAAGTTCGTGCCCAAGCTCTATCAGATTTTATTTATAAACAAGGTACGGCTGGTGTAACACGAGCTAGTGTTTCAATTATGTTTGACAATCGAAATAAAGAACAAGCACCTGATGGTTATAAAATGAGTAGGTTTCGTTTAAATATCTTCTACGTCGTTTGAGAAAAAATATTCAACGATTTTCTTTTCTAGTTGATGAATTAACTGTAACGCGCATTGTTGAATCAAATAAATCGAAATATTTATTGAATGGAAAAAATGCAACACAATCAGCAATACATGATTTATTTAAATCTGTGTCATTAAATGTGAATAATCCACGTTTTCTTATTTTACAAGGTCAAGTCACCAAAGTATCTAAATCTAAACCACAAGAAATTCTTGGTTTAATCGAAGAAGCTGCTGGTACACGTATGTACGATCAAAAAAAAGCAGAAGCTTTAAAAACAATTGCAAAAAAAGATGATAAATTAAAAGAGATTCGTACCACAATTGATACAGATATAACACCAACTATTAATAAGTTACAGCAAGATGAACAAAATTATAAAATGTATACAGAATTGAAAAAACGTTATAAATTATTGAACGATCAATTAATTGCCTATGAATATTGGCAGTTAATTACATCGGTGAAACAAACAGAAACTGATGTTGAAAATATGGAATCACAAACCAGTGAATATCAAGAAAGAAATGAAGTTATTACAGAAGAAATTCAACAAATTCATAATGAAGTTAAACTTATTGAAAGAGAAAGAAACGAAAGTGAGTTTGTATATCGAATTTTGAGTTCGATATGATCAATTTACGTGTGTAAAAAAATTAGATTTTGAATCAATTCATATTTAAAAGGATGCATATGACACATTTTGACATAGACTAGAGAATAACTGTACAATGAAGGTTATGAACGTTCTATGGAGAGAGAAAAAAAAATATCATAGACAACTAGACTAAATTTCACTATTTATTTTCATCTGAAATAGTGGATATGTGCAGCCAGATTTATCTTGACAATTTATGATAAGATATCTAGCAGAGTTGCAGGAAGATACGAGTATCAACAGTTCATAAAGGGTAACCATATAATGTGATATTTCTTGGCGAATAATTATAATTACTTGTTATGGTCACAGTGAAGCACATGTTCTGCCCAGTAAAATTTTTTGAAACTTGTACGAATTTGTTTTTCATCACTGGTTTATTCGAATCTTTCTTATCGAGATCGATTATCCATTTGTACAGATAAATGTATCTTAATATGTTAAACATTAAGCAGTGAATTTGGTCGAATGAACTTGATCTAAAAAATATACTTGAATACAAGACTAGATTGAATACAATCAAGTACTACTGTCCAAAAGCTTCCTAAATCCAAATTTGTACTCCTATTCAACTATATCGTAAACAGAATATTAATCACTCACTAGTAGTATATTTAAAAATCAGAAAAAAATGAATATTTCCTTACTATTCTAGACGTTGGCAACGAAGTATCAGAATTACAAACGGTTTATGACAAACAATTAGTTGAACTTCGTAATTTAACTAATGATAATGATCGTTTAGCAAAGCAATTGTCTCAATACAAACAACAATTAACTGATTCCGAGCAACAACATAAACAATTAACCAATTCAATTGAAAATTTAGAAAATGATATTGAAAAAAGTCGAGAAGAATTAGTTGATTTAGATAAAAAAGTTCTTACGGACACTGAACATGTTAAACAATTACAACGACGTCATGAAGCTGTTAGTACGGGTACAGCTGTTGTTGGTAGTAGTTCTCAAGTTGCTCATGGATCAAATGATGACAGTCGATTGACAAATAAAGAAAGATTAGATAAATATAAAGAACAACGTGGAGAAATTGCAACAAAAATTAAGCAGCTTCAGCAACGAGTCTGTTCTATTTGAACTATATACTTGTTCTTTCTAATTGTATTTTTGTATTAGATCGATCATTCGACTGGTGAATTAAAAAAACTTCGTACTGAACAAAAATCTTTAACATCAAAACAAGGAACATATTCGTCGATGCGTAGTGAATTTGACAAGAAAAAAATGACGTTAAATCAATGTGAAAAAGATTTGGCCAAACTGCAATTCGATGTCGAACGTCTAAAACAACTTCGTTCTGATATTCGAAATGAAGATGAAAATATGGCGCGAGATCAAAATCGTCTACAACAAATGAGGCGTCAAAATCATCAATTAGATTTTCAATATACAAATCCGACGCCCAATTTCGATAGAGCGAAACATGTTCATGGTTTAGTTGCTACTCTATTCAATATTAATGATAAAAAATATGCTCAAGCATTAGAATTAGCGGCTGGCGGAAAATTATTCAATGTTGTTGTCGATACTGATGAAACAAGTAAAAAAAATGACTCTTGCATATTTTCTTACTTAAGAATCATGCAGCTAGCTATGCATCGAATATTTCTACAATGCTTGAGTAAAATATTTTTTATTTGCAACTTGATTTAAAAAGGTTGCAATCCTGTTGAGATAAAATATTTTTCCAGTATTTTTAAACCTAACCTCCTAATTTATCTCTCTCTCTCTCTCTCTCTGAACAATCAGTAACATCGATCTGAAGTTCATCTTAAACTATTGTTCTGAAGATTTCTTTCTATATATAACGGCTAAAACTCAATTTTTCCAGCAATCCAAAATGACGTCTTAACACGATTAAAAAATTGTAAACTTTCGGCAATAATAAGCAAGTTAGAGATGTTTGGTAGGTAGTCTACACAAAAAGATAAAAGAAAATTATTTTAATTTTAATTGAATGTTTCAATTAAATATTCTATGAATTCAAATGAATTATCTCATAAATCCTATCAATCTGAACGTAATACTACCTCGATTACTCAGAATGTTTTAGCCATTCATGAAATGAAATAAAACAAGTAAAGAAGAATTGATTTATATTTTATATAAATAGATTTTAGCATATTTTTCTCTGGCATGAGGTGTGCTTCAAAATGTTCGTCATTCATTAGAATTTAGATGAGACATTTAGTTTTCATTTAAAAGGGATTGAATTGTGAGAGAACTTCCTTCTTCGTAAATTGTCTACTATAGTATAACTGATGTTCTTCAGTTATAGAAAAATGCCCTATTTTATTATTTATATCTTATTTCAAAATATTTAGGTAAACTTTTATTTAAATATGGTGATTTAAAAAAACGTATAACATTTGCTCCATTAAATCGAATTTCATCGAATTTAATTCCAAAAAATAAAATTGAATCAGCTCGACGTGAATTAGGTGATCCAAATGCAATATTTCTAGCAAAAGATCTTGTTACTTACAATCATTCAAAATATGAAACATTAATCAATTATGTGTTTGGCTCAACAATCATTTGTTCAACATCAGCTATTGCTCAACGTGTTGCCTTTGATGAAAAATTGGGTTTAAATGCAATGGCTATTACACTTGATGGTGATATTTATAATCCCGCTGGTATTTTATCAGGTGGTGATCGTAGTGGAACAAATCGTGGACCTACATTGCTCGAAACTGTTGCTGAAATGAATCAATTAGAGGAAAGTATTCGACAATATAATTCAAATAGTCGTCAAGAATTAACTAAACTCGAACGTGACTATGTTCAAAATCAAAATTTACAACAACAAATTGATTCGTTGACAAATGAAATGCAATTATTAGAATTGAAATTAGCACAAAATGATGAACATCGTTTACAAACAGAAATAACAACATTAGAACAGCAAGAGTTCAATAATAAAAAAGAATTAGACGAACAGCGTATTGAAGAAAAAGTTTTAAACGAAAAAATAAGCGAATTAGAAAAATTATTTAAAAATGAAGGCGAAGCGAAAAAAAAAGAATTAGCTGAAATTGAACAATTAATGAAAAAAGCAGAGAAACAAGTTGATCTAAGTCAAAAACGTTCCAGAGAAATGCAAACACAAATAAAAGGTAAATTTTCTTAATCATATTTCATAGCATCTCATATTGAAGACTATGTTCGAAATTTGAAATGTAGCCATGAAATTTTGCTTGATTTTCAACGGAAGTTTAGAATATCTTTGAAAATCATGTATTGAAGCTGATCGACAAAAATACTGTCAACGTTGTTTGAAATCATTGCTGAGTATTTTCATAACTGTCGGATTCTAATGTTTTTATATTCATTGTTAGACGGAAAAAAAGCGTAATGCTTAATTCTATTATTATCATTGCTTGATGCCATGTTTGATACGTCTATTGTAATCTTGTCTTTTACACAAAAACTTTCTTGATAGAGTTCTATCAGATACATAAAGCGAAACGTTTTTTTTTAATCGCTCATTTAAAAGAAAATTTTTTCTATATTTATCCAATTCGTTATATGTTCATTACGTATTCTACAGGCGAAGCAACCGTGATGATAGCAAAAAAATGTCACTTGTGGTAATCTAACAAAGAAAAACTAAATGTTTATTTGAAAATACAGGAAAATCCTACATTGCATTCTAGGGTGTTTGTTTCTTAGTAGCAATTGAATAAATATAATTCTGAGAAATTTTCTTTTATGTTTATTAAGATTTGGAAATGCAACTTCAATCTCAACAAGCTGAACTTGATACGCTAACATCCGATATGGATACGCTACGCAATACCATAGAAACTAGTGCACAAACTCTGAATAATGCTAATAAAACATTAGCCAATAAACAGATGGAAATAGATGAATTACTTTCAAATTTACAAACAAAACGTTCACGCCTAACCGAATATAATAATCGTATACATTCATTGCATCAAAAAGAACAACAACTTATAAAGGAACGTCGTGAAATTGAACTGCAATTAGAAAAAAATAAACATTCAATTGTTGATTTACAAAATATTGTTAAAGAATCTGTTCGACGAAGACAGTTAATTATTGAAAAACATGGTCGATGGATTGAAGAAGAAAAAGATAAATTTGGCACATCCGGTGGACAATATGATTTTGCTTCCATGAATATTGCAAAAATGCAAAAAGATGCCAAAGATGATAAAGAAAAAGTTACTAAAATGAGTAAACACGTCGATGAAAGAGCTATGACTTTATTAGAACAAAAAAGAGCCATGTATAAACAGGTTAGTATAATTTAGAACATACTAAAAATTCTTTCTTTTTCCAGCATGCTATTAAAATTTTTAATCGAACTTTGAAATTAATCTACTCTTTAATTTTGTGACTATGCTGAGTATGGCCACTAATGATAAAATATATATTAAGGGAAGATTTCTACCCAATAAAATTCTATAATCATTCATTAGACCAGAAGAATCAAGAGTTAAAGTAGAAAAATTTACTCGAAAAAAGCTAAATCAGAGATAAGTTAAATTAAATATTAATAACCTAAAAGAATTCACTGTTATTGATTTATGTAGAAAATCTGTCACGAGCAAAGAAAGAAGATTTACTCTTGTTGAGCTTTTGCTTTTATTTTTAGTTTCTTAAATACTTTATGTACAATACTATGCTATATAGGATTTGAGTCCTAATGTATTAATTTCAATCGAATAAATAGAAATAATATTATTCTAAACAAAAGTTTAAGGAGAATTCACCTCGATAAAAGTGATAGTGAAAATCGAATTATGAGCTGATTTAAATTAATTTGATTTATCATCGCCATTCATATATTAAATTAAGCTTTATATTGGAAAATTATGGTTCTTTATTCATACGATGTTATGACACAGTATTCACGATAGTATTACTGTAAAGAGAATCATCCTGTATATTTTCATTTCTTTAAACAAATCAGAGATGAGTAATGGAATAAATAAGTTTTTGATACAGAAAACATCGGATCTTGATTCGAGACAACCTGAGATTTAAATTCTTTAAGAATTCTCTTTGTTTTATGTAAAACTATTCGCCGATCAAATTTTAAAATTTGAGCGTACTACGTCTCTTAAGCCAGATAGTATTCTGATTAGAATTTATTTATTATGAGTTCTGTATGAATTCGATGATATTATAAAGAATGGATCTCGACTTGATCCGTACACTATTTTCTATCGAAATAATGTTTTATCTCTTCTCTTGTCTAATTCATTTGATGTATTCATTGTTGAAAACGAATAACACCAAGAATAGATAAATATCATAATATGATCATACGTGCCAAATATGATAAACCTTCCGTCCTCTTCACAGAGAGATTAATTCTTGTGCATCGATGTATTCTTTATTATTATTATTTTTTATCATAATTATAACTGATATCAATATATTCTTGTTTTTGTTTCGTAGTTATTAACCAAACAAAAGAAAGTACTCAAAGATAAAGCTAACATTGAACGTGTCGTTGCTGAGTGGGATAAGAAAAAACAAGAAGCATTACGTATTGCATGGCAACGTGTTAACAAATCTTTTGGTGAAATATTTTCAACATTATTACATAATGCAAATGCAAAATTAACATCTTTAAATGGTCATTATGATGCTGATCGTGCACCAAAAGATCTTGTTTTAACAGGTCTTGAAATAAAAGTACAATTTGGTTCATTATGGAAAGAAACATTGGATGAATTAAGTGGTGGACAACGTTCATTAGCTGGACTATCCTTAGTTCTAGCATTACTTCAATATAGTCCAGCACCTTTATATATTCTTGATGAAGTCGATGCTGCTTTGGATATGTCACATACACAAAATATTGGTTTAGTTATAAGAAAAAGTTTTCGTAATGCTCAATTTATTATCGTTTCATTAAAAGATGGAATGTTTTCAAATGCAAATGTTTTATTTACAACAAAATTTGTTAATGGAATATCGACAGTTTCGCGAGCTGAAAACGTACCAAATAAAAAACATAAAGATAAAGAAAAATAATTCAAACATAGATTTATTAAGCTTGTGTAATTATTTTATGTCAGATAAAATATTGTATATCTTATTTTTTACTGGATAAATATAGATCTATGTATGAAGATTATGTCTTATTTGTGTATATTTTTTGCAGATTGTTGATTTCATAAATAGCGAAAGAAAATATTTTCGATTGTGAACATTTTTTTAATGAAATGTTCAAATACAATATCATAAAAATTCTATCTAATAGAGCTATTATTAAATATTATCATATGAATTATTACGAAGAAAATAAAATTTTGAGTAACAATCAAAGAAAAGCATGGTATATTAATCGTTCTGAGTGTATTCGAATTGTAGCAAAGAAAGTAGTATTGACCTTAATAGTTTAGTTGTTAGGATAAGGAATTGCATTAAGCCAATTGTGCATAAATTTTTGTGTCGTTATCCGAAACATATTGAACTAAGTTTAATTGTGATAATTAGTATTTGAATTAAAATGTGTGAATAAAGGTTATGGGGCATACAAGCAAGAATAAATTCATTAAAGTGAGAGTTAGGAAAGATGACAAAAAAAAACAAATCTCACACATTTCATTTGAAAGACTTCATGTAATACAAAATAACGTATACCTGTCTACAAGTGATAAACAAGACCAAAGCTCACCAATTAAGTACTGCATATCTTATATCATTATAGACTTTATTACAAAGCCAGATTTCTTATCATATACTGAGATTTTAACTAATCATTATTCAAATCAAATTTAAACATTCAATATCTTAGAAACAAGACAATTACATGCGGTTGAACTGTACAAATTATTGTAAGATCTCTCAGATGTACCAACGTGAACAGTATTACTTTTACTGACTAGTCATATTGAAGAGTTTTCTCCTTTAAGAGATCAAGCAAGACAAAAATTAAATCTTCCCACTAGAATCCTATTATGGCATATGAATATTCATAGCTTGATAAAAAAAAAAGTAAACTCACAGACATACCCTCATATAGTTAAAAAAAAAAGAGAGTATAACACTTGAAGTCGTTAGATTCCTCAACGAATAGAAGTATGATACCGTTGATTGAACAAATCAACTTTCGATACAAATATATTTATTTTATCAACCAGGAAATAAAGCATATTTATCTCGATAACGAGAAGAAAAGATTAATATAAAATTCAATCAGCATAATAGATGAATAAACTGGAAAAGAACGTTGATCGATAAGATATACTTTTCCTCAAAAACTTTGACTTTCATTCATTACATTTTGTTTCCAACGTAAGCAAGATAAGAGATTTCTGATCTCTACATATCTTTCGTTACTGTATCAATATCATACTACTTACATAGCTACAGCTAGCTGTTTATCTATATGAATGATTTATCGGATTTCTATTGGTTATTCAGTGCTCCAATATCGTCATTCTTATTCTATATATTTTCAAATTAGTCATGCATTTTATTTCAAGTTCATTATATAAGTTCGTCATACAAGTATTTTTAAATGAAAGCCACGTTTTTGTTTTCATTGCATAATTTTTTATTTAAAATTTCTCACATCGTTACAAAATTGAATCATCATAGTGGCTAAACTTTTGTTATAAAGGCCAACATCAACGTAGACACGAGTCGTCATCATGATCATGATCATCACCTTCTCCTCACCTGTCTATTTTATGAGAGTTGATTATCTTTTCATATCTTTCATTTTCTTTTGCTGCTTTTAGATCATACCAAGATCTCCTATAATATAATAAAAACAAAACAATTTCACAGATACAATGAATCCTGAATAGTGAGTCATTGAATTTGAATAATCAACTAAATGAATGATTTTTAATTTTTAGCGATTACCTTTTTAAATTATTACTCATCGGAGATTCCGGTGTTGGTAAATCATGCCTTTTATTACGATTTGCTGTGAGTATCATTTTTTTTTGTCATAAAAATACAAGTATTAGAATGTTTCATTTTTTAGGATGATACTTATACAGAAAGTTATATCAGTACAATTGGTGTTGACTTCGTAAGTTTCATTTTCATAGTACTATGAATGTTTTTCGTATAACAAAATAAAATAAATGTTTTTGCAGAAAATTCGAACAATTGATCTTGATGGTAAAACGATCAAATTACAAATTGTGAGTTTGTTTGCTTTGTCCTCAAACAAATTGTATTTAATAATTCTTTTTTTCTCTTAGTGGGATACTGCTGGCCAAGAGCGATTTCGTACAATTACAAGTAGTTACTATCGAGGTGCACATGGTATTATTGTTGTTTACGATGTCACAGATCAAGTATGAATACGAAACTATTTAAAAAGAAGAAAAATAAAAACATCAATTTTATTTATCAGGAATCATTTAATAATGTGAAACAGTGGCTTCAAGAGATCGATCGTTACGCAAGTGAAAATGTTAATAAATTATTAGTCGGTAATAAATGTGATTTAACAGCTAAAAAAGCTGTTGAATATACTAAAGCAAAAGTAAGATGAGAGAAAATAAATAGAAATATGAATGAACATTGTATTTTATTTAGGAATATGCTGATTCATTAAATATTCCATTTTTGGAAACATCAGCAAAAAATTCAACGAATGTCGAACAGGCATTTATGACAATGGCTACAGAAATTAAGTCTCGCATGGCAACAGTACAATCAGGAACATCAAATAAACCATCATCCAGTGTAAATGTGTCTGCACCTGGGAAACCTGTACAACAGCCAGGCGGTTGTTGTTAGAAAAAAAAGCAAACAGAATTTTTATGAAAATATGCCGGCTGATATTTATGCACACATAACTAATCTATATTCTACATTTTGCGATCCTTTAACTATATTGATTTACTTTCTTTCGTTTGTTTTTTGTTTGTCGATGTCGTTACACAATAAACTAAACAACATGCATATAAGATGAATAAACAAAATATCGGCCATTTATAACATAAGAATTCCATTTCTCTTCCTTTATTTCTTTTTCATTTATTGTTTATTTTTAATTCAAAAAAAAAGCTGAGAGAGTGTATGGCAGTAGTGAAAGATTTCCTTTTTCTTCTGTGTTCGTATTGTCTATTTGCTGAATATGTTGTTGTTGCTGTTGCTGCTGCTGATGATGATGATGACTATATATATACATATATATATATATATTTCGGTCTTTTTTCTTGTCTTTTCGTTTTATTTCTTATTGATTGTTCTAGCTTCATTTTTATTGTCTATTAACGTATATCATCCATATTGTTTATTTGTCTCTCGTTTACTCTTTTAAGTGGCCGGCAATAAAAAAATTCCAGAAAAACGTTTTTCTCTCGCTATATTTTGTTTTCAAAAGTTTTTTCATTTGTTCTCTTTCATTCATTATTCGTGACCGAACATTTTCTCAGGATAAGTTAAACAGCACAGTAATGATTGTCATTGATACAGTTGTTATGGTTGATTGGTTTTTACGACATGCCAAAATATTCAACTAAATATTTCTATTCTTATTATCGAAACTGTCGTATTGTTAGATCTTATTTATGCTAAAGCATGACCTCGCCCTAGCCAATGTTCAAACATGGTTTTCTCAACGTCGACTAAGGAAAATTTATTGTAAAGTTCAGCGATACATTTCTATTCATACTTGTTAGAATGAGAGTTAAACAAAATTTCCCATCGTTTCTTTTGGCGTAGCATAAAAATATGTACATTTATAAATAATGTAGATAAAAAAATCCTTTGAAACATCGATTAATACTATTGAATGTGTAAACAGCTATGAAAATTTTATTAGCTTTTTGTTTTCCAAAGTATTTCTATCAACAGATGTTTAGTTATCAATCTAAAAATAAATTTATATCGGAGTAAATAAAAAATTATTGAATAGTCTGATTCTGTTTTAAAAACTTCATAGAAATACTCAACGCGATTGAAGAAACTTCGAAAATGCATATTTTTAGATTGATTGTTCAATTCTTTCTTGACATAGTATTGATTTAGATCGATCTTTATGAAAATATTTGACGGTAGATTAAATTTTTTTTCTTAGATAGATAATAAGGTCAAAAATATTCGAAATAATTTTGTTCGGTTGTCTAACACTTGAGATGAATAATACCAAAAGGAATTATGCGAAGTTAACACTTGATGCAGTAGTTTTTATATTTTTACAGATTTACCTTTTTTTGACAATTAATGTATTCAACTCGGATTGTTTGTCTATCCCATATCTGACAGTTTTGTTTCGCAACACATTTCATAAAAAAAAACGAATACATAAGCAAGTAAAACTTTTTGTTGCTGTAGTATTTTGAACAGAAAATATATCGCTGATCTATGCATGATCTGAAGAAACAGTTACACAGCTAATTTTTATTTTAAACTGAATGACAGATCTTTTCATAGAATATTTAATGAATTCTTTTTCTAAAGAACGGTCTAACGGTTACGTCAGATATTTTACTTAGCTCAGGCTTCGACTATTTTCTTTCGCGCTTCGATTAGAAGTAGTTTCCAAATCAAACATGCAGTCTCTAAATAGATCTTGATAAACTGTATCCAATGACATGATTTTTTCCAAAAAGAAACGTTCTTTCATTCGGCCTAAAACCTTGAATTATTGCAAAAAATACGTGCATGAAGCATTCAACAGTCGTAAAACTTGTCCCGATTCTACCAAGAATAGTTTCCAATCAAAAAGACACCTCGGCTCCAGACGGAACTCGACGTGCTCTATCGAATGTTTCTTTCAATTTTTCCTATTCGATGCTTCATTCGGCTAAAAGCAGCCCAAAACTTCAAGTTAGCGCTAGTTTTTGTTAAATACTGTCGCCACTAGATCAGGAATAGTTTTCGATCGAAACACTGTACGTGCAGATAGATTCGACGATCTCTATCTGGTGATCTTATTTCTAGTTGATCCAAGGTTTCATTCCATTCAACGATAACTCTCTCAAAGACAAAATCGTAAAGTTATATTTAATTGATTAACCCTTCGAGAACCCAGGACGAACAATCCCATAGCTGGATCCAATCGAATTTCGATCGGTTAATCCTGCAGAACTCTAAGTAAATCCGGGTTGTGACCCACTCACGGATTCCTAGTGTTGGAATCCGATCGATTCTTGCAGGAAACAGTCAAATCCAATAGGTTTCCCTAGGAACGTCGTTGAATTCCGACAGCAGAGGATTTTATCGGATTCCAACACTACAGCTCCGTTAGTCGATTCGTTGCCTGGATTTCCATAGGATTTCGTTGGATTCACTGAATTCCTATAAAATCCGATCAGATTCCGGTCGGATGCGATTCTCGGATTGTATGTCCTGGGTTAAAGTACTTAAAAAATTGCTAAAAAAGATGACCAAGTTTTGTAGTTGGCCGTATATGGACCTCAAAAGGGCAATTTCATTCGCTGCGTCATGAGACGCTCTTTCGAACAAAAATAAAAATGAATATGTTGAACGAATCAGTACTGATATTTTTTGAATGCGCGTTTGAGGAAGTGAAATGCGAGAAAAAAGGAAACATTTTCCCGATCTTCAAAAAACCACTGGATTTTGGAGTAGGGTACCGCAAAAATCCTCAAACTCAGGGCCAAGAAGAACATATCTGAGAAAAGCTTTACTCGGATATGAAAGACAAGAACACGGGCTATCTCTCTATATATCTATCTCAATTTCGATGATTTTTTCGAAAACTGACCTTCTTTGAGGGGGGCCTTAATATAATGCTTCGATTTTTATTAAAATTAAATAAATAATCACAATGTTTTACTTTAAAAGAACTCTACTATTTTTGTGCGTATCAGAAAAATTATCCATCAGTTTTTCGAAATGAATGTTGAAATCCTGTTCTACCACTAAAACACACAAATCATTTAATCGAGTATTCGACATTGTATTACGTGCGGTGTTTATTATCAGCTATATTTTACTAAATGTTCATTCACAATTGGTAGACGAAACATGTATAGTTTTTTTTTAACAACCGGTGGTAGGGCGCAAAACTCTGATGGTTGTGCTCAGTCCAACCATGCCATATCCTGGTTACGCCACTAATATGGAATATATTTCTTCTCTGCGTACTTCGTACAACTTGATAAATGTCGTTTTGAAAAGATTATATAAAAATTATGTCTCTCAAAAAAACCAACATCTTCTCTCAGTCTTCAATGTATTTAATTCAGTCGTACTGAAAACGATTGATGAATAAATGTAATACGTTCTTAGAGTGTTTTTGTCCTATTTTAATAATTATAAAAAAATAAATAGAACAAGGCTGTACTCATCATAGTCAATATTAATAATAAAATAGGAAAAGGCACTGATACATATATCGTGAGTATTTTTCCTAATAAATGCTCAGCTTTTCTCCATGTTCGCCAGAGGGCGCTGCGCTTTACTGAGTACATATATTGCTGAGCAACACTCTAGAGGTTGAAATCTGATATAACCTTAGTAACCGACGATATGATGCCTTTTTCTTCTATTGATAATCCATTAATTATTCGTTTAGTTTCCTATTCAGCTAATTAAAACAACAAAATGTCAAGCGTTTCAATGATTGATCAGTACAATTCACATGAAAACTTCGATAAACTCAATTCATTAACTCGAACAGTTCACAATAACACATCTAATAATGATCAATATAAACAGAAGTTACTTGAAAAACTCGAACATGATAATCGAAATGGTGGCTCGTCATTTCTTGATACGCTTGAAAAACTTCGTTCTGAACAGCGTATACAATTAGCGCAAGCTGAACGTAATTATTATAATCAACAGGCAACATCATCATCGCTTGATTTACCCAACTATACTCAGGAAAGTCAAATACAAAACAAGCATGAGACAATAGTAACAGCAAAACCACCATTACCAAAAGCATCAAAACAATTACCATCACCTGTATTTTTAACTGAAGAACGCGCTCAACATCATATGAATCATCGTTCAATGTCTTCTAATATCGTTCGAAGACATGATGATGACATAGCTTTTTGTCCACATCGAACATCTGTTGGAAATTCAACAGCAACAACTACACACGATCTAACAACCAATCATATGAAAACCCAAATACAGAGCATGTGGAACGAATTTGAGTTGGATGATTATATCGAAAATAGAAAGTAAGTCAAAACATTTAAGACTCTATTATATATTTGTATGATTTATTTGTTTTATTTAGAAATCGCCATTCATCGACAGCAGCTAGTTGGGCTGGTCGTATTACAATTCCAGCGCCGTTTGCACTTACAAACAGTATGACTATGGATAGTGTACATCGAAAGAGATGTATGCATGATATTGAAGCAGCAAAATTACAAAAAGAAGTTGACGAAGAACTTAACCTTCGTCGTTCTTTCAAAGGTAAATTTATTTAAAGTGACCTTGAATTCTCAGGAATAATTGACTGTTTCATATTGGCACTCAGCAATATGTATAAAAAAAAGCACGTGAAATTTATTTATTTATATTCCTTGTTTTGCCAACTGAAAATATTATAAGTGTTCATTATGTAAATCGAGCTTGAATTAATATTAAAATGCTAAGAAAATAGACTTGAAAAAGAAATCTAAATTTATTATGTAATATTAGAAAAATTTCTTGTTCAAGCAAAAATCACTAAAAGTTTTTGAGTAATCGAAATTGAAGTCGGATCCGATTAAATATACCTTACATACTATAGGAAACAATTACTTATCATAATTAGTGTGTTCATTAATATCATATTTTCTATTATAGCTAATACTGTTCCTGCTCATGTTAACTTGCCGTTATATGAACAATTGCAAGAAGATCAACGTTTTCGTCGTGAGCAAATTCACCAAATGACAAGAGAATATTTATCATCAATATCGAAACCATTTAGTTTTGATTCACGTGAAAAGGCTAAAACAGTATTAAGACGACATTCATATTCTGGAGGGGATATGATTCAATCTGATTCTAAATTTAAAGCTAAACCCTTACCAGATTTTTATTATCAAACACGCCAAGAAAACGAACAGTATAGAATAAAAACTAATATTATTTTTGTTCATTTCAATATTTGAACTTTTTAGAATGAAGGAACAAGAGGTTTACCGTTCAATTCGAAGAAACATACGCTCAAAAGAATTACTTCGAAAATCTCGCTTACCATTTAGTAATAAAAAATCGAAACAATCACGACGTTCAATGAGTGCCAACGATTTAGCACGTATTGGTTACGAAGAATTTTCTTTTAAACCAAAAACAAATAGTTATTATGTTCCAAATTATGATAAACTCCATTCAAAATTTACACGTAATATGGAACAATCAAAACGTATGCGATCACCAACAAAATGTAAACCATTTTTATTGTATACTAATTTAATTCCATCGAAAAAAGAGAAAATTCTCGATGATATTAGAAAGGATCACGAGTTAAAACATTCTCAAACATTTCGTATTAAAGGAAAACAAATGCCAACAAAGTCAGCATCATTAACAAATTTATCAGCTAGTTTTCAACAGTCTGAAGCAATACCAACAAAACAAACTGAAGCACAACGATTAAGAGAAGCCGTTGGAAAGAAAAAAAGACGAGAACAAGAACATGAAAATAAACTTGAAGAAACACTTCAAAGATCAAAATCAGCAAAAGATAGAAAAATCAGGGAAGAAATTCGTGAACGAACTAAATTACAAGATCAAGCAGTTATTTCGAAAGGAAAACGAGATGAAAATGTAGTGCTAACTTTCTTATATGTCTTTTATCTAACAATTTTACTTTTCTATTCGTTTAGGCACGTAAATTACGACAGTCAATGCGTAGAAGTGAAGATGACTATGCAAAGAAATTAGATGAAATGAAAGAGCGTGTTCAACAACGTCCACTATTGATTCAACAAGATTCAAGGCAAAAAGCTGTTCGAGAATTAGAAAGAAAAATTCAGTATGCTATGAATATAGCAGATGTTACCGAACAAGATTTAATCAGGCAGCAATTGAATTCATTGAATGGAGGAGTTACTACAACTACCACGACTTCGTCATCGTGAAATAAAATAACTTGGTGATATTATCACTTCTGCATAGATATGTGAATAATAAAGATATACGTCTCAATTCAAATTATAAAATAAAGTAACATAATATCGACGTTTTAATAGACATATATGTATCGCACGAAATAACAAAAGAAAAATAGATGTATTGCAAATTTGATAATAATAGATTATGATTAGTTGACTTTTTGATTTTTATTGTAGTTATAGATTAGCACTAAAATATTTTCATCAGACAAGAATCAAAGCGTAGGTTAAATCTCTATCTGTATTATTTTCATCAAGGCTGTGATTGATGAATTCCATCGATTTTTTATCTAAGTTTCACTCATTTATAGGATTATACAGAAAGAAAAAAAGAGTCCATTCACACTGTGACACTGTAGAGTATATTTTATGATGATTACAATATTCTGCCAGTTTCCACTCAAATAGATATTTCAAATACTCACTTCAATTAGAAAAAAATGCAGCACTTTCTTGTTACAAGTTATTTTTTTAAAGTTCATTTTCTACGCATCGTATTTGTTCAATAAACAGCATTGGTTTGAACCGAAATTCGAAGAGCATTGTCAGCACTGGAAAATCATTTACTGTGAGAAATTCAATATCTGAATTTATTTCACGATATTTAGTAATAGATTCAAGATTTAATGCAATAACAAATACTCGAGAAGGGCGACTTACATGGTGCACATGTTTGTAGAATTCATTTTTATCTTCACTATCCACTCTACCAATGCCAATCACAAGAATATAAATTGCAAAACAATATATTAAACAGGCGAATCTCCTTAATGATTGCATAAAAACTATGCAGATGTTCACAAATTTTAGGGATGATAGCGTTCAACGGAAATAGCACATGACTTTGTTGACAAAATGAAGTGAACATTACAAATCTGCTGGTTTAATCGACGTAGGGGAAAGTTTTGTCTCAACCAAAAAAGAATTATTTCGGCTCTCATAATCACGCACTTGTGATTTTATAGATAGCTAATTGTGAACCTTTTGTGTTTTTAATTTTTCTTTATCTAAATGCACACATATCAAAATTTATATTTTCTAATAGAAACTGTTCGAAATTATTTAGATTTGATAGACATCTGCAATAATTATCGTCATAGAATAAAAATAGTAAACTGTTGTGTCATGAAAATGAACAAATAATCATTCATTGTTATACTAACTCATTTCAATGACATGAAAGTGACGTATGTCGATATATTTACTTCTATTTGAGCCGTCGCTTTCAAATTGTTTTTATCTAAATGATGCTTTTATTTATGGTTATGTATATATTTCAAGGGGGAGCAAACTGATTTCTCGATTTTTTTGTCTAGCGATTTCTATGATTTCTTGTGATTACCCGTGATTTGGTGTGATTTTGAGTATTAGAAATCAGTTTGTTCCCCCTTGATATATTTATCAAAATTTTGATTTTGTATGAATAAATGTACTACTTCTCTTTGCCACTTCATCGATAGACCAACTTCAAATGTTCCAATATAAGAAAAAACATTTTGAATTAATCTACTGATATCTATATCACTTTGCAAGAGTTTTATTATTTAGATTGTAATTCATTCTACAAAAAAACCAATCACAATCACTCTTTTGGATCATTTTTTGGTTATGAAATACTCTTACAACATCTATCAGTGTTGCATGAAATTTTAATCATGCCTGACAGTTGAAAGAAAATATTTTGAATTTGAACAATCGCATGCAATTTGAAACAACCTAACATCATATCAACGTTCACAATAGCAAAAACATAATAACTTATATAAATTGATAATCTATTGCCAGTGCAATCAAATAATATATAGATATAATGAAATTTTCTTGTTTATCCTATCTTATCTATTTTCTAAATGAAGATCATTTTATTGACCTACTATCGCGATCATTGGATTTAGAAATCACGTTGAACTTACAAACTAACTTTAATGTTATTCAACTTTTTTTATGTTAATCAAAAAGTATGAGATATGGCATTTAAACTACGCTGAAAGATGCTGGTGAAAGCGTGTAACTATATCGATCATAAGTTAATAATTGATTGAGGTGACACAGTCAATACTATTTTTAATTATCGATTTTTCTGTTAGAAAATATATATTGTCTATCACGTGCTATTAACATTCGATATTCTTTTGATAAAATGGCACGATTGTTAGAGTATTTTCATAGGTTATTTATGTATTTATTTTTATTTCAAAATTTTCTTTTTCTTCTCCAGAGAAAAGCTATAGGGAAATATATTTGTTCCAAGGTTATTTAGTATTGTTCAATTTATTCGAAATAGTTCAACTAAACAAAATTACAATACTGTATGAACAGAGTAGATATGATCGGCGATGATCTATCTTTGAAAAATCTACTGCACCATTATCATGTTTTCAGACTATGATGTAAAAGAAACTTAGTTAAAGCACAATTATATTAACTTTAATCCTATGCTTGATAACGTTTAAGAGGTCTTCTAAATGAATGAAACAATGATAATTTTACAGTTAAATACATAGTATGCATATTTTATATCGTTCAAAAAAAGAACTGAAACATTTGTGAAATAACAATGAGCTGCTTTATCTGGCTTATATTACTATCACAATTATCACACCACTGTTGCTACCTCACGTATTTTGTATGTTATGGCATACTATATGCTCCTTTTCCTTCTTTCCTACAACAGGAACAAATATTTCTACGCTATTTTCTTCCTTCAATAAAGCGGTCAATTTGGTCTCTTCTATTCTGTTGCATTCTATCTGAGCTTTTCTGAAAGCAGTATTTTCTCTCTTTCCTTTTCTCGCACATTATAGAATGCAGATTAATAATATTGTTGGATTTGATTTGCCAATGCCTGACTCAGCGAACACTACTGATCCGAATGCATCATTGTTATCGAAGCCCGAGCATTCGCAGAATTCTAAACAAAAATCGGACAATCTTCTACAATCAATTGGCTTTCGTTCTATGATTATTTTTCAAATACTAGCATATGGATCGTATTCTATATTAGTGCATCTCTGCGAAAAAGATGGCGCTGTGGCTTTTTCATCAACAACGATGAATTNCTGGTATAGATATTAGAATTTTTAAATTTAGGTACGTTGAAAAATTCATCGTATGTTTCGAAAAAAGTCACAACAACATCTATTATCATGCCCGAAATGTATATTCGTCCATTGGGTGTACCCATGATTGCTGTTTACTGTATATTTAGCGGTCTTGCAGGAGTATATAATGAATGGATTCTAAAAAAACACTATACTGAATCACTTCATCTCCAAAATATTTTTCTCTATACTTATGGAACTCTTCTGAATTTATTTCCAGCTGTTGCTTCTGCAGTGGCTAAATCCGGAAGTGGACATATATTTAATCCATTCGATGGTTTTTCATTTTACACTTGGCTAATTGTGTTAACACAAGCATTGAATGGTTTATTTATGTCTGTTGTAATAAAACATTCATCTAATATAATTCGTTTATTTGTTATTTCGTTTTCTTTAATAGTTACTTCATTTCTTTCGTGGTTCATTTTTCATATTACGTTTAATATGTATTTCTATGTTTCATTTCTAACGATGGGATGTGCGCTTTCACTTTATTATTCGAATTGAAGTTTTTGTTTTTTTTATAGAAATGTTTGTTTTTTCTTTGCCGAAATAACACGAGGTAATTGATTTGTGTCGAGTGTTACCTGAATATTTTCGAAATACTGTTGTTGTTCAATGAATAACTGTTCGATTTGGTGAGCATTGAATGGAGAACATTCAAATACGAGATATCCGTGATCGTTTAGCCATTCTTGTTTTGCACGATGAATAATTTCAGAATAGAACTTCAATGGTGGATCAACAGACAACTGTGTAGAAAATCTGGGGAACATGGTGATATTCAGATGGACTCACATTGGATGGGATAATTTAATAAAAGAATTAAAATACGAACATGGGTTTTGGATAAACATGGATGCGATAAATCTATTACTCGAGAAGTTGTGTGAAAGTATATTTCTTAAACTGTTACAATTTTGTGTAGTTTGTTTTCAATGTTGGATATTATGAATGTACTAATAGTGACAAGATATATTTATATGGTTATTGTATTATTGAAGTATCAAATATACAAATATTACATAAGATAAGGTGTGCATTACTCGCTCGAATGCTATTTTAGCTAGATATTGATGAAGAGATTTTGCCGAAAATGTTGTTTTGTTTTTGATCAGGGACACGATACTATCTATTTTAGACAGTACACAGTACCTGTTCAGTATCGACGTGGAAAGTGCTATGTAACAGCATGGCGGAGAAATTTTTAACATCTCTTGACCCCCCATGTAATAAAAACCGCACGAAAATCGGCGGTTAACCGCGGTTTTACCGATCCGGTTACCGGCTCCCATTACCGCAGAACGGATAAATACCGCGGTTTACCGCAAAAAATGATCCGACATTTACCGCGGTAAACCGCCGGTTTTGATTAATACCGCGGTTAACCGGTTCGTCTATAATCTTTGACAGAAAAAGTCTTCCAAATCATCAATTAAACTATTTTAATCACCCTTTTTTTTACTTTTACATGTGATAAACATGAGCAAAAAACCGCCGGTTTACCGCGGTTTTACCGGTCCGGTTACCGGCTCCCATTACCGCAGAACGGATAAATACCGCGGTTTACCGCAAAAATGATCCGGTATTCGCAACATGGGTCAGTAACGGTCACGGTGTTAGATGACACTAAAAGATAGCATAACAGGAACATGCAACACTATATTATTTTGTAGTTGGTTCGTAGAAAAACTAAAGATACATAATGGAAAAAACATATGATAGGATGTCCAAGAGATATTTGCAAAAAATACTGGAATATCGATTTTTTTCTATCACAATGATTGTGAGTTGCTTTCTGCAGTGTACTTTGTTTTTGTCTTTTAGAAAACGCAATAGTTATTCAAAGGCAAGACATGATAGATTTTTTTCTGGACATACTGTTCGAAATGCTTTGAATATAGATTTCAAATAGATATGTTTTATTTTTACGAAACATGCTGTAGAAGATTGAAGATTAAGCCATATTTTCTCGGGAACGTTTCCATCATATATTAATTTATTACACTCCTGATATAGTCGTAATCGATGAAACTTTAAATTTTAGTGAATAACTTGTTGAGAAAGGTTTATTTAACTTGATAAAGCTGAAGGATCTGACTCAAATAGAGTTTACTCAGCATTTAATTACGAAGTAACCTGTCCAAAAAGAAACCGTAACTCAATTTTTCTGAACATTTTAACAAAATATTGGAATGATTATGAAAGGAATAGGTGGCCATATTTTTACAATAAATCCTTAACTACTATAATCATGATGTTCGACATTTTGATGTCTTCATTTTATTTTTATCGATTTGCATTATGTTGTCAAAATATAAATTATTAGTAAATGATATCATTAACATTTTACTGTGCACAAACTCTATCATTACTGAATGTAAATTATCAATTAGAATAAAATAAAAGATTAGATAATAGAATGGCTACAAAAATCTAAGATTTCATCTGCTACCTATTGAACACATCGTTAGTATAAAGTTGATATTTGTATATTGATTAAAATAATCGAACGCATTTATAAATCGAAATGCTCTGTGCTGTTATATAGGTAAAATAATTGACGTATTTCATTATTCGTGACATTTAACTATTGTATAGTAATTTAATTTTCATATTTATGTAACTTCAAATTCTACTAAAGCTCTATATCTAAGAAATAAATCAAAAATAGAAAAGTGAAATATCCAATGAAATTCCATTAATATTCATGTATGTATCTATGAATTTTTATCGCTGAATTATTTATTTTAACATTAAAAATCTGATAACATATGACTCTGTTATGGTCTGTGTATGTATACACAGATCATTAGCATCATCTACCCCTGTGACACTATCTTTCTTTCTCCTATTTTCCTCCACGCATATTATTATGTATTCCTTATCTCATTGGAGATAATAAGAGACGAGCAAATCTGTTCCTGTGTTTGTTTTGTTCTCACGCTCCCTGGTATTCTTATTGTTAAAGCGTATGTAATCGAACTTGCTAATAAAGAAGTGAAAGTAGACCATACCAATTGGCGACCCTGGTTTAAATACGAAAACTAAAAAACAAGATATCTAACATGACTGACACATGAAGAAAAACAAAAAAATTTGGATGCTAACGAAAACGCAGTGTTTATCAGCGGCGTAACCAGGGGGAGGCAAATGGGCAATTGCCCATTTCATTTTGAGCCGTGCTTATTGTAATTTTCATTAATTAATTTTTGCCCATTCAAATTTTACTTTTTCACAATTATTTACTTTTGAATAAACTAGCTACTGTCTTTTTTTTCTTTGGTCTGAATCGCATATGTACCCTTTACTGGTTCTTATGAAGAATTAATATAAGAAAACAGAACAAAAATAATGAATAATGCACAATTGTACATACTTATCTATAAGTATAATTGTTCCTTTCTTTTATCTTCTCTCAAAATGCTGACATGAGAGAAAACGATTGAACTATAATCTATCGCGTCCAGTTTACCGTCTTGTCTCTTCTTTCGAGCTACTATATTATAAAAAGTCTAAAGAAAGAATAAATATGCTCATATAAAATTGCGCACTTACACTTATAATTTTGTTGTTCTCTTTTGTTCTGTTTTAAAAAACGAATAATAAGCCATGGCAACTGGAAAACGACCCAATTCACAGTGGCGGATCCAGAAACTCAGTAACGGGGTGGTACNCATGGGGGGGGTGGTATCCCCGGCCAAAAAGTGTTTTTTGAAACCTATTTGAGGCAATACGGCTCTTTTCTGTTTCATTCCTGCTGGAAAAAATCGAAAAAATTTCATGAAGGGTGTGGCCCTCGTCAACTAGCTGTAATGGTAGATCCATCAGTGGCAATTCGATATTAAGCTATCACTTTTCTTCCAAATATTGAAATTTTATGTAAAAATGTACAGTGGTCGTTTTGATTTTGGTGTTTAAATTTCACAACCAAATGTTATAAATAGAGACTGATGGTAGAATAAAATGTCTAACTCAGCAAGTCTGAAGCAGGCTTAAAATCTGAGATTCTTTTCCTATATATTAGGTTAAAAGAATCTCATGTTTTTTTGGTGTTTTTTCTACGTTATCAATACTTTGCTGGGTTAAAAAATTTTGGCCTATCAATAAAAATCTTGCCAATTTTGCCCATGGTTTATTTTTGACTTAATAGAAGTTTGCCCAATGGTATAAAAATCCTGGTTACACCGCTGGTGTTTATCGTTCAACGTATTATTGATCATCGTTTTCGAAATGGTCGAAAAGAATTTTTGATAGCATGGAAAGGTTATCCTGATGAACAAAATACTTGGGAACCTCAACAAAATTTAGATTGTCCAGATCTAATAACGGAATATGAAGCGCATTTATTACAGCAATCTCGTTATATGAATCCTGATACTGATACATCATCTCTTTCACAACAAAAAAAAGTTGAAGATGAATGTCAAGACTTCACTATACCACGTACAACAAATCCTGGGAATAAATTATCGGTATTAGATTCTGTTCTTCAACATGTTACATTATTTTCTGGTGTTGAAAATGCTCGACAATGGTTCACAAAACTTGATTCAAAATTATGTGAACTTCATTTATCTCTTATTGATCGACTTGAAATTTTTCGAAATCTTTTCACCTGTGGCGCAATGATTTGGTCTAGTATAAACAAAGATAAGTTTAAATCTTATACTGATTTTTGTCGACTTTTTGCATTTGCATATTTTAAATTCGAACAATTCTCCAAGCATACCACGATAGAACCACAAAATAAAACTTCATCAATGCTTGCATCTGCCATAATTAATAATGCATTACTAGATATTTCTCCTGATTGTTTGATTAATCCATCTGCTTCAGCTGTTTGTTCTAATAAATCACAAGAATCAACTGCTAAGGATATCTCTAATTCTATTTTATCAACTACTATTTGTAAAGCATTGATTGATAAATTCGTTAAAGATCCACTTAAATTTCATGGTGGTAAAGACAATATTTATCGATGGATTGATGAAATCGATCAACAATTCAAAACCATGAATTTATGTGATTCGTATAAATTAAATCTAATTCATATATGTCTTAAAGGTGAAGCTTATCAATGGTTTCAACCACAACCAATGCCATTTACATCATGATACAACTTTATCGCAGAAATTATTAAATCGTTTAGTTCCAATTTACAACGAGATGTAGCATTTAAGAAATTGAAATTGTACCAGCAAACTACTCATCAATCGGCAACCCAATACTATATTGAGACGATGAAGTTAATGCAACAAGCCGATCCGCAAATGAACGAGTCAACAAAAATTCATTATCTTATGAATGGTCTTCGCCAATCATTATGCACTGAAACACGACGAAATTACCCAACATCAACCCAAGGTTTTCTACAACAAGTTAAAATTGCTGAAGAACTTACAGCGTTAAATACTAATTTTACCTCCACTTCAATTGATAATGATGATATCACACCGTATGATTCTTTTTCGTATTCAACAACATCATCTTACCCAACAGCAAATAATTGAAAAGCTTCTGAGTCTCAACATTCTTTAAATAAAAATTTTAATACATCGTATCATTATCTACCTCAACGTAATCACTATTCTCGTGTACCTGGTCAAGCAGCTGATATTAATTCATCAGCAAAATTTATACCTCCTTTACTTGCTAATAATACATCTCAACGTAACAATAATTCACATCGTAATAATACTAATAATCATCAGTATCGGAATTATCAACAGCAACAGCAAAAATCATTTCAAGGGTGTTTTAGATGTAGTTCATTAGATCATATCGCTCGTGATTGTCACCATTTCGAAAAACGAAGTCAATGATTGATGGTGTTGGCTTCGTTTCGTCATCAAAATATCCATCAAATTCTTCCTTAGTTCTGTTTACGACATATGTTAATAATAATGAAATGCAAATTATGATAG